AAATAGTTCCAATTGTGTTAATATCAAAACTCTGTAGTCTTACAGGTTATATTAGTGAAACGTTTCTTTGGTTTTGTGGAGCTTGAATGTGTGCATATTCGTAAAGCAGTTCAAGTATCTGTTCTTGCTTTGCTGTGAAAATATTTATATACGTTATCGAATAATTCACTAAAATGCTCTGAATTCTTACAAAAAATCTCACAATTGTTCTCGTTTACTGAATAACGACAACACCGCAACATTACTCTGCTTTAGTTGTAGCTGTTGTCATGATATTAGTCGTTGTCGCGATACTAGCAGATGTCTTTATACTTTATATATGTCACTAAGTTGTCGATGAATTGTTTTATTCCACTCAGGTGGTATCGCTTCATAGATTTATGTTGCCATATTGGCACAGTTGATACTTGTTTTCCAAGAGATGTAGACGCATTTCTGTCATAGACCAATAAACAACAAAACCAGAATATGATTCGTAATTCATTCTCAATCATCACCTTCATTAAATTAAGACATACTACTGTTTCAAATAGTGTGATGACCATTTACCTAATATTTTGTATATAGAAACTGGAAAAGACGCCGATGCCGATACTGGGAACAACAACGACCACACGACCGCTGCCGCCGTCGCTGCAACTGAGAGTAAGTTACCGCCTTCTTTCACTTCCTCAGGGTATTATGGTTACAATATGACAGAGGTGTGCCACTAGTAGTCACATACATTTCTCCACAAAGTGAAAATGAATTTTACAATCCCGGGCCCTTGGGAAAAACCTCGTATGCTTACAATGATTGCTTACATGTTAAGTAATATAACTTAATATAACCTCAATTCGTAATGCCGTGTACAATAATTATTTCTCACGGAGGGAAATGGATAGTTAAAAGTTGACATTTGCCAAAGAGTATATATAATCCTGAAGCACGGAATTGAGATTGGCATGTCATGAATGATCCGTGGTACATCGTGGCCATTCCAGGATGTAAACTCGTTTATACAAATAAATACAACATTAGTATATTGGGCCCATTTTATATGATATTTCAATCGTGTGCATGCGACGCAAAACTTAATATATTGCCAAATATTTTGATTTTAATTATTTCCATGAGATAGCAAATTTAGTATTTTTTGACAAATGTTTAATTCATTATCAGTATCAGTGTGTTTAAATTTCCGCGAATTAACATTATGGCATTTTACGTCTGTCAAATAACTGCCAAATAAATACGTGGAATCATTAATTACTAATGACCTGGCGTAAAATTGGAAATTACTCCAATAACAAATGTCCAATTCGGGAAC